TGCTGAGCTATCTTAGTAATTGTATGATCTCAGCAATGGCTGTGCCATCTAGTTCTTGACTATACAGCTTTAAATCCTCTACCTTATGCAATAATAGAAGACCATGGTGAATTGCTGTTCACCATGCCAAGTTGCAGGTTCACGCTTGACAGACTTGTATCTGTCTGTTTTACTGAGAACAACATGAACAGAAACTGAAACCCCCTTGTCAGGTAGCACAAAGACTGGTTACTCAAAGAGTAACTCAAAGAGTTTGTCAGGGTGACTTTTAAGACTTTAGTAAACACCCAGCTCAAAAAAGTCAGTTACAAAAGTCATAAACATTCCATACTGGTGTTTTTCCTGCATTTCAAAAGCACTCTACACCAACAACCAACTACTTCAACACTTTGAAGTTAGAAACATCTCAACAGTAACAGGCAGTTTCAGAAAGGTAGTGTTCAGTAAGGCAGAATACTTTCCAAAGTAACATCAGATAATTCAGTTTGCATGTAAAACACAATATGAGATAGAAAACTGAATTTCACCCATCTAGCTCAGTGACTGCAACAGAAAATAATGCAACTTATTTAGGTATTCTTAAGTGTGTCCATGAGAGCCTTGCACCAAAAGAACCATATTTATTTACAGACGCTTATTTGAGTGTAAGTTTTGTGCAAACATCTGCTCTGACATCTGGTGTGTGCAGAAAAATTGCACTAACTGAAATAAAATTTACAGTTTCACTTGCTGTATATCCAAGTTATACTTGCTTGGATAACTATACTTAACATTTACTAATGGTGGTTCTGCAGCACAGGTACTACACAGTATTTTTTGAGCAGTACCACTGTTCTAAGTACACAGCAGCTGCTGCTACAGCTCTGGCCATATGAGTATCTCTCTCAGCTAAAGGCAACTCAAGCAGCCCCTACTCCTAGTCATCCATTCCCTCAGTACAGCGCTGTTTGGGAACTGGGTCAGGCCACTAATCTGGGTAAAAAAAATAAATCCCTTCTAAGACAGATCAGTTCATTGTGTAACTCTACACACATCAGTTCAGCACAGCTGAGATGCTGCAGAACCAACCTAACCCAGGCTACTTGTGTTTGGCACTACATGAAAAAAGTCTGTTTGCAAGGGTGATATTAAATTCCAACATGCTTGTGCTGTCACAGCACACACAGAACCTACATGGTTACTACCGTCATTGTATTTTTGCTTCTATCTCCGCAGCTGCACCACTGATGGTTGTACAGCCTCTTGCCTTCAACACTGAAAAGGGAATGGGCTGAAACAACCCATCCTCTCCCCAAAACGATGGTTGTCTTCCTCTCTTCTAGAAAAGTGCCAGGCATTGAGATATGTGTGACATTTAGGACACTACATAGAGGGAGAAAGCCTTTATCCCAGGAAGGTGGGAAAGGAGGAAGCAACTCTTCCAGTAAGGTCAGTTTTCTAAAAAGGTGATGGCAGGAGAGGCAGACTTGCCCTTGTACACAAATTTAATGTCATCAGCCAGAAAACATCACAGCCTAATACTTTCAGGATTCTTGGTGCTAGCAGACTTCTGCCAGTACTGCAAAACACATAGAGTTTATTGCCCATCACTGCTGAGCATCGAGTGTAAGATATAAACAAGGCTAAACTCTGTAAAGTCCAAAATCAAAACTGAACTTCACTGGCTTCAAACAGCATTTGTAGTTAAGCCAGTAAAACACCTGCACAGAGGCTCCAACTGAGTAGAAGCAAAGCCGTCTAAGCCAGAGATGAACAGGGGATACCACTGGCTGCATTAAGTGGGCACTACTGTGGAAAGCAGGCAAACACGTGCACATTTACAAACTCATTACCTCCTACTGAAGGTTGCATCCTTCATTACTTATAAACAAGTGTTTACTTCTAGTTTTTACGTTCTTTTTTCCCCACTTGAATTGCTTTTTGCAAATACTGCACACTGTCCAACTCGGCACCAGAAACGCCTTCGACTACCTCCAGAGAGAGGTTGGCTCGGCCGCCCTTCCCCGCGGGAAAGCCCACACTGCGAGCCTGATTCGCTGCACGGTTTGAGGGGAAACTGCAGGAGCGCAGCCGCTTCCCCCTCGGAACAAGGGCACAATCGGGGGCATTTCCTCGGCCAGGAGGTTGTTTCCCGGCACAAGTGGAGGGCAGGCGCGGCGGGAAGCGCGGCAGGGCGGGCGGGC